AAAATCATTATTTCTAAGACGAGAGGAAAAAACAAGTTTTATTATTGTATAAACTAGGGTAAAAGACAACTATCATTATATTTTTGTTACTGGTTTTATATATATTGTTAGATAGTGTCTGGCTACTGTTACCAACTGCTCTGAAAAGGATCTCATTAGAAGGTCTTCCTTGATAGGGTGTTATCAAAATATGGAACAAAACTCAAAATCATAAAATAAAAAAAAATCAGGCTTACTGGTCAGACAGAGACTGGCAAAACCCTCAAGACTATGGCCCTCAACTTAAGAACAATTAGTTCTTACATCACGGCCCTGCTCAAAACTCGCCTTCAGGAAGGGAACACAGAAGATTCAGGTGCTACAGCAAAATGTGGCAAAGAGTTTAGAAGGTGCCTAGCTAGCAGATAAAATAGTATCTGGTGTCTTAAAGGCTTGTCTCCAAACAAGCAGCTATCTAAGTGAGAAGTCAACTAAGTCCACATGGAAGAAGACACAAGTCTTAAGTCATGGAAGGGTTGTAATCCATATAAGCCGAAGTAGAAGGAGGGATTAGTATCAGAGCTCAAGTTGTGAGAATCTGGTGTGCAGAAGGTGATGGACAACAGTGGGAGCCCAAGATTCATTGGTGGAACTACATAGGAAATCAAACTCCAGAGAGCTGCCCCTATCTAAAATTGAGGGATGGAGGAAAGCGGTCACTAAACAGAGTGCTTGGGAGAAAGGAGTATAGAAGATCAAAGGCATATATCTCACTTGAACAGTTAAAACTCTGTCAGTAAGACACACACCCCACCCCCAATGATGCAGGCTGGACCTGATTTGGTTTCCAATATTTTTTGTATTTTTTGTTTTTTATTGTTTTTGTTTTCCAGTTTTATTGGAACATAATCCACACCATACAACTCAATCATTCAACCATGTCAAGAAGAATTGCACACTCATTACCACAATGGTTTGTATTGTTTGGTTTGGTTTTTGTTCATATTAGGGTGTATCTCAGAAGTGCCGTCTTTGGAGGTCACCCTCTTGAAGCTGGGCTACATGTTTTTCCGTTTTTCAGCATATGGGCCTCAGTACTGATGAATCTATAGGGACAGCAAATAGAATAAGGGTGTTTTTTTTGGCGGCGGGGAGTGGGGTAGAGTGGTGGTCGTGGTAAAAGGGAGACGATGTCAAGGAGTCCATGTAGTTAAAGAATGTTTGGAAACTGATTGTGGCAGCAATTGTACAATTCTACTTGCGTGTTTGAACTATGGAATAATATATGTATTAAACATCAATTAATAATAAATTGGAAAATAAAAACAAAACAACAAAAGACTATGGCCCTTAGCCATTCTTCAGGTCTGGAAATGAACTCACCCCCATGGCTCAATTTTCAGCCAAATAACAACAGACAGGCCTATAAGAAGAACAACAGCACTAGCAAGATACACATACTTTAGAACACTCAAGGACAAAAATCCAGAGGGGTTAGGGAAAAGAGGATGAATGGGATCAGGAAATGGGGAAGAAGTGGGATATGTGACGCTACATTGTGGCAGTTGCAATCAAGGAGGGGAAACAAAATGTGTGACTTGTTGAATCGAAGATGAGCTGTTCTATAAACTTTCACCCAATTTTAGTTAAAAAAAGAAAAGAAAGAAAAAGAAAACCAAAGAAATATGTGCCTTGAAGACCAAGTTTATGTACTGTGTTTTGCTAATATTATACTTAGTTCTTACAGTGTCATAAGGCAAATCTAGTTTTAACCACCCCCCACGACATACATATCCTTCTGGTTTGCAAAACTTTGCTTTTTACTACTTTGCCTTTATGAAAAAACCTGTAGTACCCATTTTTGCTAACTGAAAGATATCTATAGGCAATTTTTGCTTTTCTGTAAAAAGGCAAAAAGCAGAACAAGTCTCCGGCACTGCTGCGCAGAGCATGCTAGAAGAGGTAGTGTGCGCCCTGGGGAATGAGAGTGCCATCGCCAGGTCTTGTCCCTGCGAATTACATTCAACATCAAGCCACTTTGAACAGTGGCGAACCTGTATGATATTGTTAACTAGTATCATTTAATAGGTTATTTTTTGAGCCTGGGAATGCTCAATATTTTTGTGCATA